AATTGAACTCAGGACCTTGTGCTTGCTGTGCAGATGCCTGTGGTTTTAAATTGCAGCCATACAATTAAAAGCCAGTTTAAAAGTATGCCATATGGGGCTGGGGATTTAGCTCAGTGGCATAAGCGCCTGCCTTGCAAGCTGGCAGTCGTGAGTTCGATCCCTGGTACTGATAAAAAAAGGAAAAAAAAAAAAAAAGTATGCCACGTGCCTGACCACATACTTTCCAAATACCCAAGTCTTCCAATGATTTAGGACTTATTTGGAAAGTTTTTTATATTTTATTTTATTTTATTTTATTAGTAGTACATGTTTGCAGTGCATAACGATTACATTCACAGGGAGTTGGTACAGGTAAAATATAACCTATTTGGTAAGGTTTATGTATGGCAAGATAAAAATTCTCTTCTGAAGTTAAGTGATACTTGATACATTGCATCATATGCCTCAGACATCATCTGTTATTCTAATTGATCTTCTTTTTTTAAGTGAAATATACATTCATTAATTTGGAAGATACTATGGCATGCTTCTCTTAAGTGTTTCTTTCTGAATCTTCCCGGGTTAGAAGATGCTTATGATTTGGGGTTGCCTTCTCTACTCACTGGGGTTTCTTAATGACTGAAGGCACTGTCCCCCAGCCAGGGTGCAGAGTGGGGCTGTGCTCAACTCTGGTGTACACACAGAGCTCTGTTTTATGTCTGCTTTGGTTTTGAAACAGGGTATTACTGTTGCCCTGTTTTCATAGACTCAAGCATTCTTAGTCTACTGACAGACAAGTGATTATATCACTTGATTGTATTGTTAATCTGTTTACTGCTCATTCTCTTTGGAATTACTTTTATGGGCTTCCTGTCCTTCAGAATTAAAATGGCGTCTCTTACTTGAAATTCTTTACAAAAACTTTGTAGTATCATGTAGTATAGAACTTTCAAGAAAATAAAAGTAAATAACATGTTTGTATTTATTGTAAAGGAAACGATCTGAGGAGTGAAGGTAGATAAACATAATTAAGAGACAAAGGGTAAGGGTAGACAGTTTATAACTTTTCTGTTTGTTGTGTGTCTTAGAAAGCTACTATAAACACTTTATTACGTTTTGAGATTGAGTGAGCAGGGTGAAGCAGTTTAAAATTTTCTAGTGAAAACATGAATTAAAAATACCAAATCTGTTCTGCTAGCTAAATGATATTAATTTGAAAAAAAATCCCTTCTATATTTTGGAATTCCAAGTCCTAACCATAGGTGTGCTTAGTAATCCTGTACTGAAAAGACAAATAAGTAAATAATTATTAACAGGGTTAATAAAGTATAATTCAGAACTGATTGTATTAACAACAGAAATATAATCAATAATCTTTGTAGACAAAAATCAAGCACCAAAGTCTGAGTGAGTTCCCCTTGCAACTCTCAAAACTTCTCTGTATGTTTGAAGTTTGTTCAAAATAAAGTTGAAAGAATAATGAAAAAAAAAATCAGGCACCAAAAAGTATGTTATTTTCATTTCTATTTTATTATTTATAGGAAGTAATTATATTTTAGAAGCCAGTTTCTTTAGAAAATAAATAAAACTCAGTATTTTAAGATTTAAAATTTAGCTCACACACAACAAATACGTGGTTTTTTCATTGTGATACACAAGACAGAATCATAAACAGCTTACACTTCACTCCTGTATTACTATTATTATTATTATTATTTGGGGGAGTTCTGGGAATTTAAGTTAGGGTCTTGGGTATACTGAGAAAGCCTTTCATTGGCTTTCTCATCCCCAGTGTGTGCTCTCTCTCCCTCCTTCTCTCTCTCCATCTCCCTCTTCCTACCTCTTCCTTCTTCCCTTCTCTTTCTAGAGGAAAAATTCTTCCCCTGCCTCTGTGTAAAAATTCAGGTCCATAATCTTACAGTCCTTTTTACTTAAGTTTGGAAAGCATTGTCAGTTCCATCACTAAAAGTGCCTTTTCGTTATGTTTCAGTCTCCACACGAAGGTAAAGCTGTCCTTTCTCTAGCCAGGGCCACCTTGTGTGCGCGAGGCCACTCAGCAGCTCTCACCCCGCTGGCCCTCGCCTGCCTCCATTCAGGCCCTTCTGTGGAGCTGTCACTCTCACCCTTTCTCCTGTCCTCCTTCCCTCCCCTGTCTCTCTCATTCCCTTTCCCCCTGCTCTTCCCTCCTTCTTGGGGGTATTCTCCTTATTGAGTTGATGCTTTGGATAGAATTGTGTTGTTCGTTTATATTCACAGTGCTGGAGATGGAACCTTATGGCGATCACAGGGAAAGGTAGGTTTCTTTCTTTCTTTCTTTCTTTCTTTCTTTCTTTCTTTCTTTCTTTGTGGTGCTGGGGAAGAATAATTTTCTTTTAAAGCTCTGTCAGCAGCTTTTTGAATTACAATTTGCATCACATCCGATTCATTTAAATTTAGCACTTACCTCCAGTATTTATTAGTATTCACACAGAGCTGTGCTAGCGCTACTGCTGTCTAAATTTGAGGACCTCTGGTCCTCTGGGAAGGATCAGGTCTGGCTCCAGGCTTGCCTTCAGTGTGTCCTGTCGGCCTGTGTCCTTTCCTCTCGCGTCCCCACTGCGGAAGTGGAGCTGGCTTCACCACCACCAGCTCCATACTCCCCACCCTCCCCTCCCTTTTGCTGCCGCCCCTGGGTGATCCCAGGAATGAGTGTCAGGTGGCAGTCTGCTGTGTCACCCTGCCTCCAGGCAGCACCTATGAAGCCCTCCACAGCTCTCACTGAAGCTTCTTTCACTGGCTTGAGGAGCGCGGACTCCTTCCCATACCACTTACGCTTTAGGGCAGACGTAGAAATCTGTATGACTCTTCAAAGAAACCCTTGTGCAATGTTCTCTTTATGTCTGTGTGCCATCCTTGGAGCTATCTAACCAGTTCCCAGATGAAACACTTTGGGAATTTGCTAGAGGGTAGTCTTTCTCACAACCCAGGTCGGTACTTGATTGCTCATAGGATCTTAATGTCTCTATTGAAACTTCCAATCTAGTAATGTTTCATGGTGAGAATAATATAACACCCATCTCTTAGAAAAATGCAGCTTCTGTGTTTTCCATTTAATAATGTTCCTGTATTAAAATAAAGCACATGAAAACCTACAGATTGTGGGTGTAGGGAGAAGGTCTAATCAGAGCAGCGTCTTAGGTCTTCCTTTTCAGTAGCACATTATGCTGCTTCTTTTTTTTTTTTTTTTTGGTCTTTTTCCTTTTTATCGGTACCGGGGATCAAACTCACGACTGCCTGCTTGCAAGGCGGGCGCTTATGCTGCTGAGCTAAATCCCCAGCCCCGCACATTATGCTTCTAAATACAGTACACACAGAGATAGACTTTAACATAAAATATTAGAGTCAGCATCGGAAAAAATAAAAGAATAGGTGGCCTCTCCTAGTTGGAATTGTTTCTGTTCAGCCTGGATTTACTACTATAAATGTAAACTTTAAAAATGCTAACTTTTCCTGTTAGTTGAGTAAACAATGACTTTTGCCTAAATGAGATGTTTCTATAAGTTAATTTTTAAATTTAAGAACTTAGTTGTAGAAAAGAAGTATAGTACATAATGTGTTCAATTCCTTCTAATTTCCAAGACCAACTGTTTCTGTTTACAACTAGATATGCATTATATATTATGCTTAAATTAGTTTGGTCTGATTGATCATTATAAAAAATAATTTTCTTTTTCAGGTATGTCAATTTAGGAAAATCTCTATAAAGAATTTTGAGTAGCAACATTTTCCTCTTGCAAAATATGAATAGGGTTACTGAACCCAATAGAAAACCTTAAACTTTATCAGTATGTCACTTTAAGGAACTGTCTTATTTTCTCATTGCTGAGACAAAATACACAACACCCAGAGTTAAGGGAGGAGAGGTTAATTGGCTCACAGTTGGTAGAAGTTTCAGTCCATTACTGGCTGGCTGCATGCAGGCAGCATCACAGAGGAGAAACAGCTCCCAGCTCACAGTGGGCAGAATGTAGCAAGGGTACAAGGAGCGACCACCGCTGTTTGTATCCCTTATGTCTTATCCAGGTTACCTAGGGCGGTGGCACTCACACCTTTCCTTAATATTGGTGCCCTTGATCCTCACATTGCTCTATGAATCAATCAGTCCAGAGTATCACACACTCTGGACCCAGGCCCTTGGGAAAAAGCCTGACTGCAGGCGGCTTTGTGGGGACATCTAGACACTGCCATAACAACATTGGAAAAATTGGCCCCATAAAAATATCCCCAGAGATACTTTTCTGACCTTACTAGTTCAACGTCTCTGGAGTTTGAGTTTCTAAAGTATGTTACATTGCCTCTTATCATAGCCAAAATAGCATTATCATTATTATTATTCCCAACTCACAGATGAGAGCCAGGTTACAGCGAAGTGGCTGCCAGGAGCACATGGTGACTGGACAGCAAAGTTGGGCCTAGAAATAGTTAATTCCATGTTTTGCAAAATCTATACACACACACATTTGGAAGAAATGTGTTGCATGTTTTTCCAGTTTGCTCTGCGATGGCTGTAAGGTCTCCTCTCCTGTGCTGTGTATCTGGAAGGCATGGAGTGAAACTCAGGACCGAACTCTGAAAGGCTCTACTCTGGCTGCTTTGCCTTCCTCCCTGGTAACCTGGTGCTCCCTGACCTCTCTTGAAGGCGTCACTACCATTCCCCAGGGCCTGCTCTGAGGTTGACCCTGCCAGTTCAGAACAAGTGAATGGTTATTTTGAGGAGTTCTTCCTCAAATGTCTTTGCTTTTGCTTTTAATGAGACAGGGTCTCCCTATGCTGCCCAGGTGGCCTCCTGTGCTCACCTGATCATCTTGCTGCAGCCTCCCAGGTAGCTGGAACTGTAGGCGCTCATATTCTTTCACAATTTATGGGTTAAAAACTAGGATCATGTTTAGACTCAGTGGTATGTTGGGAAATGGATAGATCGAGGCTTGTCATAGGTCGTCATGGAATTGCTGACACATGGACATCTGCTCCCTTCGTTGCAGGTAACATGCATGTGTCACTGGCCGAGGCCCTGGAGGTTCGGGGCGGCCCCCTGCAGGAGGAAGAAATATGGGCCGTGCTAAACCAGAGCGCTGAAAGTCTCCAGGAACTGTTCAGAAAAGGTACGGAACTTTTACAGTTTTATTTTGTATAGTGAAGTGCTGAGACCAGATGTTTGATTTGATATTCTTGTGCTTTTGACAGAGTGTGTGTGAGAAGGAGCGCTTCCTCTTGTCTCCCTTAAGAGGGCTGACAGCGCTCTGATTTTGTGTGCCGGGCACCGGGAATGCAGTGCATAGCGAAACAGAGCCATTCCTAACCTTGGAAGGGGCTTACGCTCCCATGTAAAAAGTAACTATTAATAAAATATGTATATGCGTGTAAAAATGACAACCATGATGGGCTAATGAGGGGAGGTTCAGTGGCTGTGAGAGGAGGCCAGGGGTGGTATGACTGGGTCACAAGGAGGAAAAGAGGGGCTTCCCTTCCAAGCAGTGCCTGGACTGAGATCCGGAGGGAGGTCCAGGTTAGCCAGGAGAGGGAGGGGAAGCTCTGGCAAAGGGAACGACACACGTGCCCCATTGCCCTGCCTGAGATAATTAGGCTGACTCAGTGCTGCAGTGTGGTGCTTCCTGATACGCCGTCACCGGGTCACTTTGTTGTCTAAAATGTTTGAAGTCATGCTGGAAAGCTCCATCTGAAGATGGTGTTTGTTACTCATATATAGCCAACACCTAGGGAGGATAGTTGGTAAATAAAACCGAGTTTCACTTAGTGGGAAAAACCAGTCTTTAAACTAGAAGAGTGTGAATACCCTGTAAGCCATCAACACAGCAGAGGCATGTGGGCACCCCGGGGTGATGGTAGCCTTCAGAGGGCGGGACTGCGAGCAGCAGCACTGGCATCACCCTAAACTTACCAGCAGGCAGACACTTCACCCACGCTGGAGACTCACGGAAGAAACTCGGCCGTGGGCCTAGCCGCTCATGTTTCATGGCCTGTCATGGACCTTCTGCCATGTGCTATGGCTGAGCACCAGCAGTCAGACAGACCTGCCGGGAAGGGTTAGGGGTAGCTGCGGGCTGAGTGCAGGAACGCCACAGCACCAGCAAGCAGGGAGCCCTCGGAGACCGGTGGGAAAGGGTCAATCGGTCCTGCTGTCTTTGAATCTAGGAACAGGAACCTGAGCAAACAGTGTTAGGGCCACACATTACTGCCTCTTCCTCAGGTGTGTGAAGATCTTTCATAAGAATCGGGATTAATCTAAAGAAAATGGATAGTTTTTATCTGAAACCACTCACCAAAAATCTGGTTATCTTAAGTAAGCTCTATTGCTATGCTTGCTTCATTTTAATTTTTCAGAAAACTCCGAAGTTTAGGTATTCTGAAAACTAGAGCAGTAAGTCTGAAAGTGTTGGTAGGAAAACTGTGTTGGTGGCATTACTCAATTAGCAATAGGACAGAAACATCTGGGGCTGGCGGTACAGCTCAGCGGCAAAAGTGCCTGCCTGGCAAGCACAAGGTCCTGAGTTTGATTCCCAGTACCGAAATAAAATAAGGTAAAATAGGAAACATCGACGTCTGTTATAAAGTGAAAGAGCCAAAAAAGTGGAAGGTGTCACCATTGTCCGTAAGGGGTTATTCATATCAAAGAGAAGTTGCGTGTGAAAAGTTTCCCACTTCAAAACAGTAAGCCAAATGAAGCACAGAGCGGGTACTTCAGATGTTTAGAGGAGGCAGAGAGAGTCCCTCCTTTATTACACAGGGCGGGATCCCTCCCAGGCTTGACTCACAGAACATAAAGCTTCTGGCACCCTGTTAAGTAGGTAACTGTGTCCTTTCAGGTTTCCTAAGGGTGATAGAGATTGACTGTCTGAATTTACAGTTCTGGTCATTGAGAGGCAGTTATTTCATAATGTATTGGCACATTACAATAAAAAATGTACTGGATCTGATAAAATTAATTATGAGTCAGCTATGTGTTAATTCTGCCTAGTGGCAGCTAGTCACTCTACGGCCCCCAGTCTAATTCATAGAATGATTATCAATAATACAGAAAAATTAAACTTGGCTACTTTGGCAGTTGGGAGCATATCAGTTGTTATGATTGCTAATTGAAAATTTCTGTTTATTTGGAGAAAACAAATATTTGGTTTATTTGAAACTTCTGATATTGCATTCATTTCATTTGATAATGTAATGGTCGTTTTACTGCAGATTTTTCTCCAGAGTCTTACTAAAAGTGGAAATAAAATTATTTACTATTAGTTTGCTATTTTTCGGGTGAATTGTGTTTTCCTTCATTTTCTAGTAGACGCCTCAGTGAAGAACAGTGAGAAAGCTCAGGGGCAGCAGGTAAACTGAAGTGGCTCCCAGGAAGTTTGTTTTCCTAAATGTGTCAGCCTGTCTCCGTTTTCTTTGTCTCCTTTGAGTTGTGTCTTTCCCCCTAGATCGTCTTAATTTCACGTGTTCTATCTTTTTCAGTATATGAGTGCAAACGTGTTGTTGATATTCCTATAATAAAAAGGTGGAAGTAAGCACAGAGCAAAATTCAAAGATATGATGTATTTCTTCATGTTTTTGAGCCTCCCAGAAATTTAAGGCTTTCAGCATTTTTAAAACAAAATCTTTGTGATTACTATTCATAGAATAATAGGATCCAAAGATCTTCCCTATTTGAAGGAAACAGGCATCTTAAATGTTTTCTTCCTAGGAGGAAAAATATAAAACTTCAGAAACATGCATTCCCATTCCCTTGATGATGGTGATGGTGGAAGTTGGTTCTCTTTTTACTTTACATTTGGTTTTATTAACATGTGCAATCTGTATGATTATTGCTCAGAATTTTTTGAGATTCATGTGTTTGTTTGTGATACTGAGGATTGAACCTGGGGTCTCACACATGCTAGGCAAGTGCTCCACCACTGAGTACATCATTAGTTCTTTTTGTTTTATTTTGAGACAGGATCTTACAAAGTTTCCTAGGCAGGTCTTGAATTTAGAATACCCCTGCCTCAGCCTCTTTAATGACTAAGATTACAGGCATATACTACTATACCTGGTTTTTCTTGTGGTTTTGTATATGGCCCGTATGTCATTATTCTGTGGTCATTTGAAAAGGTTGTGTGCTTTCTATCACACTGTAACTTAGATTTGTTAATGTTTGTGATTTTAATGTTTTATAAAAATAAATCCTGATTACTTGAATATTTGATCTGTAGAAAGCTTCCCACTGTGATAGTGTTTCCATCGTCTAAGTTCTCCTATCTTCTTACCTCTCTCTGCACTTCCTGTTGTTTTGTCTGATATGTCTAATGATTAATGACAATGTAAGTAGACTGGATCTTTTCACTCCATTACTCTTGGTGTCACATTTTCTCTAGTCTGGTTTTATATGTGTGTATATGTTTGGTTATTGTTGATTTTCTTTTGTTTTGTTTTGTACTCAGCTACAACACAGCACTTTTTAAATTTTCTGCTTTGAGACAGAGTGTCACTGAATTGCCCAGCCTGGCCTCAAACCTGTAACTCTTCTGCCTCTGGCTGCCAGAGTGCTGGGATGACAGGTATGCAGCACTATGCCTAGATTCCGGTTTGTTCTCAGTATCGCCTGGGGTTGCTTCTGTTTGCCATTTGTCTAGAGCAGTGGTGGCAAATCTATGGCACACCTGTTATGTGTTTAAGAGAAAAGATGTTGATGTGTGAATTGTTTTTCCTAAAAGGTTCAGGTAGAACAGCAGTGTTGACCCTTGGTGATACGTAAGTGGGCTTGAGGTTGCAGCTCAGGCTCTCAGCCCCAAAGGTTTGTTGGAATTGATCCAGTGTCTTTCTTTCTCTATTTCCATGTGCTCTACATTGTAATTTAGATATTTTTATAAATAACAGGTAGCTAGATTTTATGTTTTTACCTATCTTGGGAGTTGCTCTTCTGTAAAAATTGAAATAAAAGTTCTGGGGAATTAATTAAAACTTTGACTATTATGGTTCCTAATTACATGCATCTTATTAATTGATTATATCTGTGACCAAATGTGTATGTGTGTGTGTTTAGGGGTTCACTTGTTTTCCCATGAACAATCAGTTCTTCAGCCAGAGACCAGCTGCGTGCCCTCCAGGTCAGTTTTGTTCACAGCTTGAGGCCTCAGAGCCGTAGAACTGCCCAGAACTTCAGACTTGGTTTCAAGTTCCAGGTGGTTTGACCTATGCTTCTGGCCTACTAGCTAGATTGGGGCTCAGTTAATTTGCTGGAGCAGCTCCTGAACCTCTGGGAAACACATTTACCACATAATTATACACGGTGTTGCAAAGGATGCAGCTGAGCAGTGTGTGGGAAAGGGGCATGGCACATAGTGTTCATCTCAGCGCACTGCCTCTGGGAACCAAGCGTGCTGGGCAGTGTCTGGAAGCCCTGAGAGCCCAAGTGCTGGCTGCTGTAAGGGAACTTCATGATGTAGGCGTGGTTGACTACATCACTGACCACTGCTGACCAGCTTACCTTCCTACCCTTCTTTCCCTCCCCAAGGCAAAGTAGGGAACTGAGAGAAAGTACTTGCTGGACTAATACTGCTACCTACAGTCTAGACCACCGTGGTGACTCCAAGCCTGGGGCGTTTGTGATGTTGCAAAAGATACCTGCATTTGGTCTTTGTTCGTGTTCCCTGGCATACCACTTATGAAATCCTTGGAATCTCCAGAGCAGTGTCTTTGTGTGTGAATAGTTTAAGTGACAGTGCCTTGTAGCTTCAGGATGGGGGTTGTCACAGGAAGGATCAGTGTGGGATTAGACGGTTGGCACCTTTCAGCCACATCTCCCCACCTTCCAGGAGAGGAACGGGGTTGAAGGTTAGGTTGGTCACCAGTGGCAGTGGAGGCTTCACTCCTGTCTGATGAGGTTTCCATGTAGCTGGAGGCGGAGCTTCCTGGAGGCTGCTCTGCCTAGAGAGGGCATGCAAACTGCACATTCCTTGCTTCATACCCTGCCCTGTGCATCGTGTCCAGCTTTGTTTCTGTGTCTTTTGTGATGGTCTTTATACCCTGTCACTGTTAGTAAGGAGTCCCCTGGTTATGCTACTCCAGTTAAGCTGGTGTGAGAGAAAGTCAGGGGGAACTTTAATGTGTGACC